GGTTAGGAGTCGAGGAGGGGAGTCGAGGAGGGGAGTTAGAGAAATGAGAAAGGGCCAGGGAGAATTAAAAAAACATGGATAATAATCAAAGAAAAAGGTGGGGCCGAGAAGGCAAGAGGAAAAAAGGTGACGTCACTCGCAGGTGAAGCATATAAATGTCGCAAATTGACAGACCTTTTTGGCAGCAGCGCTGCTACAAGCACTATCAGCAGCAGTTTAGAACAAGTGCAAGATGATGAAGAGAATGATGAGGGCGCGAGTTCAGATATACAGCCAGCCTCCTGCGTTCATGATGAGGGACAGAGTTGAGCTGGTGGAAGAACCAGCTCAACTGGCACATACAAGTGCAGGGCAAGATCAAGAGGTGGGTGAGAATTATCCCTTGAACTCAGTGGCGTTTTCTCCTGGAGGCCAGGGGAAGCCAGGCTTATGGATTGTAGTTATCCTTTTAATAAATAAATAAAAACACTTTGTTTAGTTTCGGTAATTATTCTGTGCTGTGTGTTCAGTGGTGGTTCTAGACCAATTTGACTGGGGGGGCCACTGGGGGGCCAGTTATTTTCTGAGGGGGGCACAATGAATGCAGGACGAAAAAGAGAACTAGACAGTATGAAGTAATTGCGCATAAGAAAACAATGCAATACAGTTATTGGTATTTGTTTCTGTACACTTATTTATTTTAGATAGATCTTATAGTTATTACTGTTAGCTTCAGCTTAAGTTATAGTGCAATGTTTGCACTCACACCATATTTATATAAAAATAAAAGCAATGAACAGTTACATCTCTATTTTACATACGGGTGTCTGCATCCCAGGCTGTTGTTTCCTTCCCAAAATGTCACATTACAGCAACAAAATCCTGCGGTCTTTGTGATTTTTGGCAAACCGATCAACAAATAAGTCAAGATTCAAAGCCTTTGACCTCCTTGACTCAATACTAAGCAGACCGAGATTGCTCAGTCTCTCATCAGTTATGGTGGATCTGAGAAAAGTTTTGACCAGCTTCAATGTAGAAAAACTACGCTCACAGGAAGCAGAACTGACTGGGATTGCGACTGCTATTTTGCAGAGTCTGAAGAGCTCAAAAAACACTTATTTATAAGGCTCAATTAACTGAACAAGCTCCACTGTACTATCAGGTCTCTGCATCCCAGTCTTTATTTTCCTATCTAAAATTATGCTGAACTGATGTAGCTCATGCCCCAAGTCCTCAACATTTGCATCATACAACTGAGCAAATGAAAACAGAGTTGTCTCTCTGCCGGCCCGTCTCTCCCCCATTCTCATTGAGTATTTTACAAAGAGTGAAACAGCGCCCCTCTAGATGTTATGGTGAAACCGTAGATTGCACTCTCTGTTGCGAGAGGAGGCGAGCTGAAATTAGCTTCCCTTGGTGAAAAAAATTGGAGAGATTGACCAATCAGATGAGGCTCACGTCATGCCTCACAATCCAATTAAATTGCATCAACTTCAGTTCGTACTGTAACTGTCATCACTGCCCTTAAACAGTAGCAAGCAACTGAAGCAAGTGCAATTATGGAGGGTGGAGATTTGGAGTATTTCATCAAACATAATTGTACCAAACTTCCGCTACAGCAGCAACTAAAAATGAAATCTGATGACAGGCCAATGCCCAAACTGGAGCTGTGTACAGAGAGGAAAAAAGGAGCGAATCAGATGTAAAACCTTAAATAATAAACAGCGGATTTCTAACATTTGACATTTCATGTGGCCGGACTGGGTCAGTTTCCAGGGCTGAATTGTAGTCCCAGTCCGCCCCTGTCTTCTTACACATCTACAAACCTGTTAAATAGCAATAACCAACTCTCAACTTGATGAATCCACAACAAGTAGAGCTTAAAGTATTTGTTTATTTGTTATTATTTGTATACATTATACAAAGCTTATTTATATAGGAACGTCACTGGTGTTACGTGTTACCAGGAAGAAGAGTAACACCAGTGACAGTAAAACCAGTGACAATTTGGAGAAAACACTACCATTTTAACAAAATGGCTGCCATGTGTCAGACCGTCAGACCACATATGACTTCAGTCAATATCAAATTTGTTTTACTCTTCAATGCAATACATTTTCCCATTCAAATGTTCACCCATAGGGCTATGAAATAAGTAACACTAATGACAGACTTAAAAGCTGCACGTACAATTCGAAGATAAAATGACGTCTTTAACAAACAAAGTAAGAAGTATCTGAGTTACCCTATGTCTTTGTCCACTGAACTGTCTCAAAGGATCTCTTACAGGAAGCTCTTCAGAGACAGTACATTATTTCAAACATAAAAGCGTTTTGTGTAGCAGTAACACCAATGACGTCATTTTGGGTGACTGACATTTATTTGATATTATTATAGTGTTATATTTAATGTATGTAATGTTATGTAAATGTGACTGAGATTTATTTATTGAAAAATACATATTTTAAATGAAAACTATAGGCTCCTCCACTTCCATGTATGATCAAAGTGACAAGGCAGTTCCTTGAACTTGGGATTTTAAATAAATTGCAATTTATTAATAAAACCTTTTTTTAATGTATTTATTTAGTACCATTGTAAAGACAATCTCTATTTATTCAACATAATGTATGTGACGACGCTGAAGTTGGCTTCCGATTCAGAGCATCCGATTCGGCAGTTAAGGGGCAAGTTAAGGGACATTTAATTTACAGCGCTGAGCGAACAATCCTCCGTGTTTGAACCTCTTAAATCGCTGCATAGCCGATTTATTTGGACTGGATTATCCCAGAAAGTCTAAAGATTCTTTATAACCCAGTTTGAGATTTGTGAAACCTTTATTCTATTTGTGAAAATACAAACAAGGGAGATTTCAGTGCTTTTTTTTTATCTAGACCACATTAGACCAGGTCCTGATCTAAAACCACTAGACCTAGACTCATCAAATCTGGACTGGATTATTCCAGAGGGTCTAAAGATTCTTTATAACACAGTTTCAGATTTGTGAAACCTTAATTATATTTGTGAAAATACAAACAAGGGAGATTTCAGTGCTTTTTTTACATGTAGACCACATTAGACCAGGTCCTGATCTAAAACCACTAGACCTAGACTCATCAAATCTGGACTGGATTATCCCAGAGAGTCTAAAGATTCTTTATAACACAGTTTCAGATTTGTGAAACCTTAATTCTATTTGTGAAAATACAAAAAGTGAGATTTCAGTGCTTTTTTTACATGTAGACCACATTAGACCAGATCCTGATCTAAAACCACTATACCTAGACTCATCAAATCTGGACTGGATTATTCCAGAGGGTCTAAAGATTCTTTATAACACAGTTTCAGATTTGTGAAATCTGTATTCTATTTGTGAAAATACAAACACAGGTGGAAGGCTGAGGTTGCTGCAGCAGACCAGGATCAGGATCAGAAAGTGAACCTCCCAGCTGGGCAAGCCTTTATGCCTTGTTGAGGCTCCGCCTCTAGATGGGCGGGCACAGACAGGACGACACTCCCAGTACCTGCCAGAGGACAGCAAGGCAGGGAGCACAGACAGGCAGAAGGGGGGAGGGGTCGTCACAACATGTTATTTTGTTTTGTTTTATTGTTCTGTCTTTTTATTTATTTAAGTATTCCAATAATGTATGTTGCATGTTTTCATTTGATTGTATTTACTTGTTTAAATGAAATTTGTTTTAGGTTCACTTATACAATCTGTCCAGGGACAACAGATGAAAAATAGCCTCTTGGCTAACTCTGGCACATTTACAGGAATGTTAATTAATGTGCACTGTCCCTGTTAAACAAATGAAAACATAAATAAAAATAAAAATAAGTGTATGCTCCTCATTTAGGTGATAATTCTTTATCTACAACGTTTTTGTATCTTAAATACTGTTTCATAGCAAACAAAAAAATGAAAAAGATGTTAAAGGAATTCAGGTTCATGAGATAAAGAAAAAGGCTAACTTTCAGTCTTTCATCCACTTTGAACAGCTTCTGCTGCTTTGTCCTAAAGCTAAATATGAATAGCAATTATTTTTTACCAAAGTGTTATTTTCTAATCTTGTAATGTTTTTCACATTCCAAGCAATCCTAGTACTCAAGATGACATACTGTAATTAGGCAAAGCTTGTTGCTTAAAGTAAACTTGAACAATGCTAGTTATAGACTATATTTAATTTCCTGTTGAAATGTTTTGCCTGCAACTGTAAATACATTAAGTTTATATAAGTATACCTACTTATCTGTTGAATTTTTATTTGCAACACAAAATTATAATACATTTGAGAAGTAAAGACTTTATTCTTCCTTAATTAGCTGTCCATACTTACCCGATTTGATGAGTGTAGGTCTAGTGGTTTTAGATCAGGACCTGGTCTAATGTGGTCAGGATGTGAAAAAAGCACTGAAATCTCCTTTGTTTGTATTTTCACAAATAGAATAAAGGTTTCACAAATCTCAAACTGGGTTATAAAGAATCTTTAGACTCTGTGGGATAATCCAGTCCAGATTAGATGAGTGTAGGTCTAGTGGTTTTAGATCAGGACCTGGTCTAATGTGGTCTACATGTAAAAAAGCACTGAAATCTCCCTTGTTTGTATTTTCAAAAATAGAATAAAGGTTTCACAAATCTCAAACTGGGTTATAAAGAATCTTTAGACTCTGTGGGATAATCCAGTCCAGATTTGATGAGTCTAGGTCTAGTGGTTTTAGATCAGGACCTGGTCTAATGTGGTCAGGATGTGAAAAAAGCACTGAAATCTCCCTTGTTTGTATTTTCACAAATAGAATAAAGGTTTCACAAATCTCAAACTGGGTTATTTAGACTCTCTGGGATAATCCAGTCCAAATAAATCGGCTATGCAGCGATTTAAGAGGTTCAAACACGGAGAATTGTTCGCTCAGCGCTGTAAATTAAATGTCCCTTAACTTTCCCCTTAACTGCCGAATCGGATGCTCTGAATCGGAAGCCAACTTCAGCGTCGTATGAATGTGAGTATTAGGTCAACGTCATATTTTGGTGTCTGCAAAAGTAAGTGACAGTAGGCTACTTCCACCATTTTTGTAGAATGTTACCATTTGATGGTCATACATGACTCATACATGGCCATATATTGAGAACAACCTCGGCGAGCGTGAGAATAGCCCCAACCCAGGAACACCTCCAGCAGCTGCTGCCGCCCGGCTGTCACAGGCGGAGAGGACCCGACCATCTGACGCGGAGTGGGGAGAGAGAGACTGAGCTAAGCTGCTTACACCCGGCCAGCAGACCCACGGTTCAACTGATACGAAGAATGGACGGCTTCATTACTGCAGCGGAACATGGCGTGTAAACAGAGGCGTTGTTCGGCAGTGCCACCAAAAACATAACCTCCTGAAGGTGTGTATCTGTATGATGGTGCTCGTTTATGTTGTTCAATGTGTTAAATAGAACCGCTATGCTGTGGCCCAAATGTGTTGGCATGTTTGGCTAACAACATTAACCAGCAGTGAATTTAGCGCACTAATGTAATCTGAACGCGTAGTGATTTTCTAACGGAGAGCAGCCATCAGTGCTGCGTCTAGCTGCTGGAGCCGCGGTCCCAACCTGCTCCAGAGCCTCGTTAAAATAGTCGCCTTCGTGTTTTCAACATACACAGAATAATTGAGACACAGTGGTGTCACTGATCTTTTTATTATTTAATGTATTTGTATTAACCATACCAAAACGCTATGTTACTGTACAGTTAAACATATCAATACTACGCAGTCTGATGGATATGTGAGGTTGGCTTTGCTTGTGTTGCACTATCTGTGCAGACAATGGTGTGTGTCAAGGCCGAATTGACCATTTTTTTTGATGAACCGACAAAAGAAACGTTCATGTGTTACAAATGTATTGAACATGTACAAACTAGGGTTTCCCATTAATGTACCGGGCGCTACATTGGAATACGCACATACACAGTGTACCCGCGACTCTTACAATGAAGGCTCGATAATCAGCTCACAGCATATACAATGGCATCTAGGTGTAAGCAGAGGTAAAGTGCTATTTTATAAGTGGGGGGGGGGGGGGGGGGGGTGGATTTTTTTTTTTAAATATTGAAGTTAAATGCATCAACCTGGTGCACTTTGAGAGCAAAATGAATTTATGGTAAACAGATTTTCTTTTTCTTTATGAATATTTTACAAATCACTCCCCTTTTAAACTGTATTCTTGTTTTACTGTCATATAGTATTTCATAACTGTTTTTCATTTATTCTCACAAATGGTGACCAAACCGTTTGAGACCCACTGAGCTGTAGTTATCTCTCTCAGTCTGACAGGACAGAGCTCTCCCTCTCCTTGTTTTAGAAACAGCTTTTAATATCCGTTAAGCTAACCAGATGCTAACAACAACAATGCAAATAGTGAGTTTGGTAGAAATATACTGTATAATAGTAAAGTTATTTAAGATGATGCCATATTTATTGAAGATTTTACATTATAAATATTCCCCAAAATTATTCAAAAGCATATTCTTCCAAACTCCTTGCTGTAGTATGACACGCAGGAGACTATTGATGTGTGTGGTGAGTTTGGTGGTAATAAGCTGTATAATAGTGATTGAATATTATTGTATTCTCTTTTTTCGGAGTTGCACTTTGCAGACGGTCCCTGAGCACTCGTTTCTTCTCCGGCTGCGGATAGAGACCAATGTAATGTGTCCAGCTCGTAGGACGGCGCATATTGGCTTTTTTTTTAATCAAAATGTGATTGTAGACGTCATTTGTGTCTGAAAAACGTTTTGTTCATGAGTTATTGATCCGTGAAATCAGAATCTCCCAATATCGTTCCAACTTTACTGAACTAAGCCAGAAGACAGTCTCATTTCGTAGACCGCTCGGTTTGCTGTTCCTTCACTTTATTTTTATATTTATATACATTTATTTTGGACGAAAATTTAGCGTGAGGAAAGGCAAGTGCGGCGTGAGTGCGTGAGATATGGGTTAATTATATTAATTATATGGGCGTGACTCTCACGCTCAATGCGTGAGTGTTGGCAGCCCTGTTAGATACGCTCAAAATGTCCCCCCCAATAGCTTAACTGATATAAAACAATTAAAATAAAATTGCTATTCTATGACTTTTTTATTTTTGGTCCCCCCCAATGTTGACTCCATGGTTACGGCCTTGGTGTGTGTGCCCCAGTTCAAGGGCAGTGTCCTCTATAAATACATTTATATCAACATGACAAGGCTGATCAGTCTGAGCCTCTTCAGAACGAGGCCTTGTCTAAATTGGAGGACAGTGAATCCTACCAGAACTCAGTGTCCTAATATCTATGCTGAGTATATATTGGTCACATTGTTAACTATTAGAGGAAATAATAATATCCTACATGTTTAGTAATGAAAAATTAGAAACAATGTTCAAAATGCAATACAATAGAATACTACAAAATCTTACTTTAAGTAGTCAACACTGTTTTATTAGATTGTATAAGATTAGAAGTGGTGTAAAGTAACTAAGTAGGTGTACTCAACTACTGCATTTGAGTACAATTATGAGAGACTTGTACTTCACTTGAGTATTTCCAACTTTGTACTTCTACCACACTACAATTTAGAGGTAGCCTACATATTGTACATTTACTCCCCTACATTTATTTAATATCTTTAGTTACTTTACAGATTTGGATTAATGATGTGAAATATAATCAAGTCTTAAAGGTCCCATGTCATGGCCATTTCTACTGATCATAATTCCATTGTTGAGGTCTACTAGAATAGATTTATATTGTTCAATGTTCCAAAATCACATTGGTTTCTCATACAGCATCTCTGTATAGTATGTGTATTCACTCTCTGTCCTACACGGCTTGTTGGAGCTCCTGCCCCCCCCCCCCTGTGAGCCCACTGTGCTCTGATTGGTCAGCTCGCCCACTCTGTCCTAATGAGTCTACCACCGATACAGCGGAGCATCAGTGATTATGTGTTACAATGGCGTTAGCAACCAGTAAATGACACCAGTAATGACAAACAGATGAGAATGCTGTGTGGGGTCTGGGTGCCGTGTTGGCGGGACGTTGCGCGTGGAGGAGAGGAGCGGACAGTGTGAGCTGGGTCCATTTCCTGCTTGCTGCGTAGGGTCTGCGAGACAGCGAGACCTCGCAAATGGCTCTATTAGCACCCCCCCCCAGCGCGTCACAGTTTCACCACTGAGACGGTACCAGGGGGGTATACTACGAAGCAGGATTTTCGCTTAGCCGGCTAACTTCAGGGAAAACTCGAGGTTTCCGGTCCTACGAAGCTGGTTCTCTTTTTAGCAGGCTAGATCTCGGTAACTTATGCTGTGCGGCTAATCTGGTCGGGACCAGGTTAGGTTGCAGGCTAAGAGCTCAACTCAGTGAAAGCACCGCCTGCTGACCAATCAGAGCTCAGTGTGCGGAGTTTAAAGCGATCAAGTCATATTATAGGAGAAAGGAAATACAGAAAAGCTGCCGTTGCAGGAAAGACGGCCGGCAAAAATCACCGACTCTGTGAACGTGAACATGAATAGAATATCAGCTCCATCTTTAGAGCAATCTGACTATTATAACATTAGCGTTAAGAAAGCTTACTTAAATATCTGCCACAACATAAGTAACCGGATCAGAGTAACATTAAGTACAGTCCGCGGCATATCACTTCATAATGTACCATATATCTCCTTATCTGAGTCAGCTGAGCCGTATCTGGCCGTGCAACACTTACAGTGTCACATACTGTATGCAGAAGTATTATTTTAAGCAACACATTAAGTTGACGAAACACTCGAGTCAAATGTAATTAAAGTCAGATCGTGTCTTAGACGGAGGCAGTGATATCATAAACCTGTTAATGTACGCATTCAAACACTTTTTCTTTTGCCAGCTGTATTCACCTTGCAGGTGCAGCTCTGTGGCTTTGATCCTGGATAAAGTGTTTAAGTCATGGATGTTTAAAGTTTAACTTCTTCATATTTGTCTAATATTATAGTTGACTTTTCATTCAGGAAGTATGACGCTGCGCTGTCAGTACGCTTCTCCATGTCTGTGATTGGTCGAATGCTCCAAATACCACCCCTTTCATGTGAACGCGCACCTAACTAGATAGGACACGGCGGGCTTGAGCGATCCACTTGATAACCCGCGTCGTAGTACCGTTTAGCGACAGCGTGTATGTTTTGGATTAGGCCAACCGGCTAACTCAAACATATCCAGGTTATGTTGAACCAGCTTCGTAGTACAGGCCTCTGGAGTAAATCCACCAGCTACCCTGCAGTATACAAAGTCATTAAAACTAGCTGCACCTTTACCAGCTTTGATAACACTTTAATGATCAATCATTATAAAACATATCATATATATATAATTTTCCGAAATTGACCAATCTGGACAATGAATACTTTTACTTTTGATTTTCAAAGTATATTTTGATGCTAATACTTGAGTAACATTTTGAATGCAGGACTTTTACTTGTAACAGAGTATTCTTGCACTCTTGTAGGCTATTTCTACTTTCACTTAAGTACAATTTCTGATTACTTCTCCCACCTCTAAGGATTACAGGGCCATGTGTATTTCTCTTTCTCAATTAATTAATTCTAGTCATTAATTAAAAAAGTAAGTCATTTAAACAGGACTATGACCACTCATATTCTTTGTTTTGTACTTAGCATCCATGATATTTTTAGCATCACATTGCCTGTAAAAATTATTTAAAAATACAGTACTATGACAGACAACTAGGTTATTTTAGATATAAAAACTGGTACAATGACAGGTTTGTCAACTTGGGTATTATGGGACTTACCAAAGAGTTATAATGTTTTGCCATTTTATCACGCTCCGAGGACCAATTTCAGGTGTTATTCATTGAGTTTTTAGATTAAAATAGGGTAGGACTTCCACAACACCTCATTAGGTTTACCTTCTATGAGGGAAGTACTACCTGTACAACTATCTAATACTATTTGTAAGGTAAAATGTATTTTATACCTTGCTGGTCACAGCTAAAAACGTTGTTGAATATATAATTGCTAAGACGGAGGTAGCGGTTATATTAAGCTTTAAAAGTCCCATGTCATACATTTCCGGTTATTACCTGTCCCCTTGTGTGTTATGAAGGTTTTTATGCATGTAAACGGTCTGCAAAGTCACAAACCCTCAAAGTGGCTAGTGGAGCCTCGCAGATGGGGGTGCTGCAGCCCCCTCAGCCCCCTCCCCTTCCCGCGTCCATTCGCGCTGTCTCGCTGTCTCGCTGTCTCGCAAACCCTACGCAGCAAGCAGGAAATGAACCCAGCTCACACTGTCCGCTCCTCTCCTCCACGCGCAACGTCCCGCCAACACGGCACCCAGACCCCACGCAGCATTCTCATCTGTTTGTCATTACTGGTGTCATTTTCTGGTTGCGAACGCCATTGTAACACATAAACACTGATGTTCCGCTGTAACGGTGGTGGACTCATCAGAACAGAGCTGGCGAGCTGACCAATCAGAGCACACTGGGCTCACAGGGAGGGGGGGGGGGCAGGAGCTCCAACAAGCCGTGTAGGACAGAGAGTGAATACACATACTATACAGAGATGCTGTATGAGAAACCAATGTGAGTTTGGAACATTAAACAATGTAAATATATTCTAGTAGACCTCAACAATGGAATTATGATCAGTAGAAATGGCCAAGACATGGGACCTTTAATCTACGGATGTCAGGTGGTGCATACATCTGGAAATTCAGTTGAAAAGTACGTAGGCAAGGCAAGGCAAGGCAAGGCAAGGCAAGGCAAGTTTATTTATATAGCACTTTTCAACACAAGGCAATTCAAAGTGCTTTACAAAAAATGAAAGAGATTAAGAAAATGGCATTTAAAATCAGTCATTAAAAAGAAAAGCTAATAAAATAAACATTAAAAGAAAAAATACATGGATAAAAGTTACAGTGCTGTCAATTAAACATTAAAAGAAAAAAGTACATGGATAAAAGTTACAGTGCAGTCTAAGATATGAATAGTTCAATTAAAATTAGCGACAAAAAGAAAAGTCTTCAGCCTGGATTTAAAAGTAGTCAGAGTTGCAGCGGACCTGCAGGTTTCTGGGAGTTTGTTCCAGATATTTGGAGCATAATAACTGAACGCTGCTTTACCATGTTTAGTTCTGACTCTGGGGACAGAAAGCTGACCAGTCCCTGAAGACCTGAGAGATCTGGATGGTTCATAATTTAGCAGGAGGTCAGAAATGTATTTTGGGCCTAAACCATTCAGTGCTTTATAAACCAGCAGCAGTATTTTGAAATCTATTCTTTGACACACAGGAAGCCAGTGTAAAGACTTCAGAACTGGAGTGATGTGATCCACTTTCTTAGTGTTAGTGAGGACTCGAGCAGCAGCGTTCTGAATTAGCTGCAGCTTCCTAATAGATTTTTTAGTGAGACCTGTGAAGACACCATTGCAGTAGTCGAGTCTACTGAAGATAAAAGCATGGACAAGTTTTTCCAAATCCTGCTGTGACATTAGTCTTTTAATCCTAGATATATTCTTTAGGTGATAGTAGGCTGATTTAGTAACAGTTTTAATGTGACTGTTGAAACTCAGGTCAGAGTCCATGACTACACCTACATTTCTGGCTTTATCTGTTGTTTTGAACATTGCACACTGAAGCTCAGCGCTAACTTGTATACGTTCTGCCTTGGCTCCAAAAACCATTACCTCAGTTTTATCTTTGTTTAATTGGAGAAAGTTCTGACACATCCAGTCATTGATTTGTTCAATGCACTTACTCAGTGTTTGAATTGGAGCATAGTCTCCTGGTGAAATTGTTACGTAAATTTGTGTGTCATCTGCATAGCTATGGTAACTTATTTTGTTGTTCTTCATTATCTGAGCCAGTGGTAGCATGTAGATGTTAAAGAGAAGAGGCCCCAAGATGGAGCCTTGAGGAACCCCACATGTCATATTTGTCAACTCAGATGTGTATTTACCTATAGAAACAAAGTTGTTTCTGTCCTTTAAGTAGGATTCAAACCAATTCAGAACTGTTTCCGAAAGTCCCACCCAGTTCTCCAGTCGGTCTAGTAATATGCTGTGGTCAACAGTGTCAAACGCAGCACTGAGATCTAATAATACTAACACTGAAGTTCTGCCACTGTCTGTGTTTAAGTGGATGTCATTAAAGACCTTTACAAGAGCAGTCTCAGTGCTGTGGTTTGGACGAAAGCCTGACTGGAACACATCAAAACAGTCATTTAAATGCAAGAAATTACTCAACTGTTGAAAAACAACTTTTTCAATGATTTTACCTAGAAATGGGAGGTTTGATATGGGCCTGTAATTGTTCATTACTGAAGCATCTAGATTATTCTTTTTTAAGAGCGGTTTAATGACTGCAGTTTTCACGGCCTGTGGAAAAATACCTGAGTGAAGAGATTTGTTTACTATATGAAGTAGATCTGAGGCCATGCAAGGCAAAACATCTTTGAAAAATCCTGTTGGAATAATATCAAGGCAGAAAGAGGAGGATTTCAGAAGTTGAATAATGTCCTCTAGGTTTTTATCATTAATCTGATGGAATTGTGTCATGATGTCTGAATTGATGTTAAGTGGAGATAGGGACAACACATTTGCTGTTCCTGATGCAGAGGCACTGACTGCTTGTCTGATTTTCTGAATTTTGTCAGTGAAAAAGGAGGCAAAATCATTGCACGCCCTGGTGGATAGAAATTCAGAGGCTACTGACACTGGGGGGTTAGTTAGTCTGTCGACGGTAGCAAACAAGGCACGTGCGTTGTTTTTGTTTTTGGTAATGATGTCAGAGAAGAACGATTGTCGTGCGTTTTTCAATTCCAAATTATAGAGGCCAAGTCTCTCTTTATAGATTTCAAAGTGAACCTGGAGATTTGTTTTTCGCCACCTGCGTTCAGCTTTTCGACATTCTCTTTTTTCTGTTTTCACGGTCATGGCCTTTCTCCATGGAGATATTTTCTTGCCAGACACTTCCTTTACCTTAGTTGGAGCAATGGCATCTATAACATTTTTAATTTTTGAATTAAAATGATCTACTAGCTCATTTACTGAGATGTTGGCAGGGGCAAGTGTGGAAGAGAAATTCTGAGTAAACATTTCCCTAGTGTTTTTAGTTAAATATCGCTTTGTGGTTACCTCTTTTTGAACATTTTTGTGAACAGAAATAGAGCTCTCAAAGAAAACACAGGAATGGTCAGAGAGTGCAACATCAGTCACCACAACCTTAGAGATATTCAGACCCTTTGAGATAATTAAGTCCAGAGTGTGCCCCTTATTGTGCGTGGGCTCCGTCACATGCTGAGTCAGTCCATAGCTATCAAGAACACAAAACAGTTCTTTAGCCCCTCTGTCCTGGGGGTTGTCAACATGGATGTTAAAATCACCAACAATGACTAGACGGTCAAAGTCAATACACACTATAGACAGCAGTTCAGTAAAGTCATCAAAAAAGCTTGCACAGTATTTGGGTGGTCTATAGATATTTAGGAACAGAGCTCGAGAGGAGCATTTCAGCCGGAGGGCCACATATTCAAAAGAATCAAAGTTTCCATAAGAACGTACTTTACTGCAAGAGGAAAAGTGTGACAGCAAGGATTCCATTACACACAAACCTGATTTCCCTGGATTCATTAAGCTCATTAGGTAAGGTTATGTACAGTATCACAGTACATTCAGTAAGTGATATAAAAAAAACTGGTTGCAAAAAAAAAAATGGTATGAGTATTTTATGTTATTTTATTTCATGAAATGTTTTTTTGAGAAGTGACAATGTACATCAATCTACTTTTCAAAAAGATGTTCATGTGCCAAAGTTAGCTTAAGGGCTAGATTACGTTAGCAGTCCATTTACCTGATGTTATTAGGGATCCCAAAATAACATGAATAATTCAATATTGTGTTGTTTTTGTAATGAGAGAAATAAAGCATGATGTTCATTAATATTCTCTGTTGCAGGAATGTTCACCCTCACAGAAGTAGCCTCCCTAAATGACATCCAGCCAACTTATCGCATACTGAAACCATGGTGGGATGTCTTCATGGATTATCTGGGGATCGTCATGTTGATGTTGGCCATATTTTCTGGAACGATGCAGTTAACAAGGGACCAAGTGGTTTGTCTTCCCATTCTGGAACCCCCTCCAGAGGGGTCTGGGGGCTTCATACAACCCCAACCCCCGGAGACAGCTGATAGCTTATGGAACAAAGAAAGTGCCATTGGTGAGCAAGCTGCTCCTCTAATGGCTAAAAGGCCTCCTGATAAAATCCCCCCCACAGTTCCCTTCACACAGTCGGGTTCTTTGGGACAGCCTCTGCCTACAGGTGTCAGGACCAAACTGGATTTTCAGCAGTATGTTTTTGTCAATCAGATGTGCTACCATGTTGCCCTTCCTTGGTATTCCAAATATTTCCCCTACCTCGCTCTGATCCACACTATCGTATTAATGGTCAGTAGCAACTTCTGGTTCAAGTACCCAAAGACAAGTTCCAAAATAGAACATTTTGTTTCCATACTTGGAAAATGTTTTGAATCGCCTTGGACGACCAAAGCGCTGTCCGAGACAGCCTGCGAGGACTCGGAGGAGAACAAACAGAGACTGGCAGGAGCCTCCACCCTCCTGAAGCATCTGTCCACCAGCAGCGAGGAGGGGAGTCCCAACCAGTCCGCCCCAATGCTGACCAAATCTGGGGTCACGTTTTCTGCTGAAAAGCTTGTGAGTGAAGTTCCTGCCATGACCATACTGGACAAAAAAGACGGAGAGCAAGCCAAAGCCCTGTTTGAAAAAGTTCGCAAATTCCGTGCCCATGTGGAAGACAGTGACCTGATTTACAGGCTGTATGCCATTCAGACCGTCATCAAAACAGTCAAGTTCATTTTGATCCTGTGCTACACCATGACTTTTGTTGCCTCTATAGATTTCAACCATGTGTGTGAGCCTGACATTAAGCATTTGACTGGATACAAAAGGTTCCATTGTACACACAACATGGCCTTCATGTTAAAGAAACTCCTTGTTAGTTACATTGCTCTCATATGCGCCTATGGCATAATCTGTATCTACACACTGTTCTGGCTTTTTCGGCGACCACTTAAGGAGTATTCCTTTGAAAAAGTCAGAGAGGAGAGTAGCTTCAGTGACATTCCAGATGTGAAGAATGATTTTGCGTTCCTCCTCCACATGGTCGATCAGTACGACCAGCTGTATTCAAAGCGCTTTGGTGTTTTTCTCTCTGAGGTGAGTGAGAACAAACTTCGGGAGATCAGCCTGAACCACGAGTGGACCTATGAGAAGTTGCGGCAGCATGTGATACGCAACCCTCAAGAAAAGTTGGAACTCCATCTTTTTATGCTCTCTGGAGTGCCAGATGCTGTGTTTGATCTCACAGATTTGGAAATTCTCAAACTAGAATTAATCCCAGAGGCCAAGATAACAGCTAAGATCTCACAAATGACAAACCTCCAGGAGCTGCACTTCTATCACTGTCCAGCCAAAGTTGAGCAGACTGCTTTCATTTTTCTCCGTGATCACCTCCGGTGCCTTCATGTCAAATTCACAGATGTCGCTGAGATTCCTAGCTGGGTATACTTGTTGAAAACTTTAAGGGAACTCTACCTTGTTGGTAATCTGAACTCTGAAAACAACAAAATGATCGGACTGGAGTCTCTGCGAGACCTCAGGCACTTAAAGATTCTGCATCTCAAAAGCAACCTCACAAAGATCCCGACCAACATAACGGACCTGTCCCCGCATCTGATCAAGTTGGTCATTCATAATGATGGTACAAAGCTCTTAGTTCTTAATAGTTTGAAGAAAATAATGAATCTTGCCGAGCTGGAGCTTCTCAACTGTGAGCTGGAGAGAATACCTCACGCTATTTTCAGTTTGAACAACCTTCAGGAACTGGATCTAAAGTCCAACAACATCCGGACCATCGAGGAGATCATCAGCTTTCAGCACCTCAAGAGACTGACCTGCCTCAAACTTTGGCACAATAAGATCATCACCATTCCATTGTCAATTAGCCATGTAAAAAACCTTGAATCCCTTTATCTGTCACATAACAAGCTAGAGTCTCTCCCCTCATCGTTATTCACGCTCCTCAAGTTGAGGTACCTCGATGTTAGCCACAACTCCGTAGTGACAATACCACTGGAGGTTGGCTTTCTGCAGAACCTCCAACATTTTGCCATTACTGGCAACAAATTGGAAGTAGTTCCCAAGCAACTCTTCAAGTGCAGCAAACTGAGAACCTTATGTCTCGGCCACAACTGTATCTCCACCATTCCAGAGAAGATTGGCCAACTCTCGCAGCTGACCCACCTGGAGCTGAAGGGGAACTGTCTTGACCGTCTTCCGGTCCAGCTCGGTCAGTGCGGCCAGCTGCGCAAGAGCTGCCTGATCGTGGAGGATCATCTGTTTGACCTGCTCCCCATTGAGGTCAAAGAGAGCGTCAATCAGGAAGCTAGTGTTTCTTTTCCAAATGGCTGTAAGTGTCTAAGTGATGGCCGTTAGTAACATCCTACGTGGCATCAAAAGTCCAGCATTTCATCGTAGGTGTATAACAGGGTTTCTTTTTCAAAGTATGCCTTTAGAAACGTTATTGTAATCTTCATGATGTTTGAGAAACTAAAGTAGGAAACAATCGAGAAATGTTTGTTGATATCTAGAAACTATCTTGTTTAGTGTCTACAGATGTAGCGCTTCATTTCAGACAGTTTGAAACGCGAGGGCCGTGATTGGTACGTGATCTGTCCTTGCTCAAGGGAAAACCTCCAGCTTGACTTGAGACCGCCCCCGTGATAAATAAATGTATTTATTATGAAGCCAGCTGCAATGGATCATTGATCCACCAGGGGGTGCAGTGGGGTTCCACACTGGAGCTCATGTGAAATAAAGTCAGATACAGTAAGTATGCTGGATGTACAGCGGAACTTTGTTAAGATCCATATGTCACGGATATCATAGTCTGTGCTAAATAAGAGACATGTAATCATTTACAAAACATCACCATGTTGTTATTTAACAAAATAATGTTGTTTAGTCGAAAAAAACGAACGGGAGCAAATGCAGCCCGGATCTCGATTTTTCATCCTAATTGAATCATCATCTTCACCACGATCATTTATGTTTATGTTCGCCGAATTGACATGAAATCACTGACACATATGAATATACTGTATTCAACTTCATTAAAACGTTATTAACGTGCCTAAACTCAGTAATTCACAAAAAATATTTATATTTTAATGGAGCCTCGTCGGCAGATCAGGATCCCAACGCGTAGCGGAGAGATCTTGAGCTGCATGAAGGGTGTTATTTTCCCCATAAGGAACAAGTCGCTGCAAATTATCCCGCTTATTACATGGCCACATTCTCAACAAAGTAACGACATGACTCCCAATATTAATTGAAATGCTTTTATGGATTTAGAAAATGTTTTTATTGATTTAAAAAATAGTTGTATGTATTGATTTAAATTGACATGCATCCGCTAAGAAAAATAGTCCGTTGTTACCCGTTGTTACCATTTTTTAAACAGTCTGAATGAAATGGCAGCTCTCAGCTGTGTATTTACACAACTAATGGCCCATCAACCACAGCTCTCTCCCCCCCTGATCTTTCTTCTCCAGCAGCTAAATTAACTGTAGGTTACTCTTACCTCATTCACACCAACGGTGTTTCGGGGCCGGTTCGGAGCTGGAGCTTGAAAAGCACCGGGTTTTCCTGTTCACACCGCAGCGGAGCAGCCTCTTAGCTCCGGAATCCGGTTCGTTTCAAGCACCAACAAATTGTCCGGCCAGAGCAAAAGTACCACATACGCCACGCTTACGTCGAGGCGGGGGCAGGGGCGGGATCAACTCCTGAACAACGGTTACGTCATGACGTGAACGATGACGCAGTGACGCAGCACCAGTCGGACTCTGGGCAGTGTGAAAAGAGCGGAGCTAAACCGAAGAACCGGTTCTGAACCTGAAAATCTCTAGCACGGAGCTTGAACCGGAGTTGCGTTGGTGTGAATGAGGTATCTGAGTGACAAGCTTACAGTTAGACACAACACTGTCATTGCAAGTGACCCTCAGTTAGTTGACTTTTATGTTCAACTGCTAAATTCGTTACTGATAAAAAAGGGCTTCTACTGTACCTAATTACCTTAGGCGCATTCACACCGCAGTACTTTTCCCACAAAGGTTCATGAGAACTTAGTTCATGAGAACTCTTTAGTTCTCATGAACTAAGTACAGATCCTGGGGGAGGATTAGGCAAATGAAGCCGCTGACGTCACTTCTTCTTCTTCTGCTTTGGGTTTACTAGCAGGCCGCAAACCACTTCACGGCGTATACTGCCGCTCAAGCTCCCAGCAGCTTCTACTGAAGCCTTCCGAGTAAATCGCCAGAACGCCGACACCTCCACATCTCCACCGCTCCCATGTTTTATTTTGTGTTGCCATAAGTTAGTCTCTCTGCATTTCTGCGCTGGGCTAATGCTAATGCTAATAATGCTAATGCGAGGATAATAAAATGGCGGCTTCACAAAACTTTTTGGGAGTTTTACGGGGCGTGGTTTGCAATCCGCCCAGCCAATCAGACATAGGAACCTTTTTCTCCCACGAAAGTCCCTGCTCTCTAGCAGGGACGGAAAAGGGGGTGAAAAGGTTCTCATGAACTAATTTTAGTTCCGGCTCTTTTTGGTGTGAACGCAACATTTCGGAACTATATCGGAACTAAAGTGGGAAAAGTACTGCGGTGTGAACGCGCCTCTTAACACTAGAAACGCCAGAGGTTTTTGTATAGGCCTACCTAACACCGTCAAATCCCGCTATTAGAATGCAATTTTTAACAACATAGGGTGCTACATAACACACTTTCAGGAAAAGTCACGGACTGGGAGACTTTAATATTTTATTGAAAAAAAGTTACATTGCACACACACAACACACAAATTGACCCGATTGGTGGTTCTAGTGTTAAATAAACTCACTAATTAATGAAAACAGTTCAATACGCATTATTCTTATTCTTATCATTCTTTATGAGCGCTGAAATAGTCTTAAAATCAGACCTGTTTTTTAAATGAAATCTGACGGCAGGCAGTTAGCTCTGATCACCTATGATAAATGCGCCACACCTAATCGCTGGCCATTCAGCCACAGAGCTCCCTCTATACAAATCAAACTGTAGACGGTGGGAAAGCACCTATTGTTTTAAATAATGGTCGGAATGTGACCTGTGAGCCTTCTGAATTACCGTGGGACAGCACATTCTAAACTAAAATGTTCAATCAATAAAGTAACATCTTATCTTATCTTAATAATATCTTCATATTAATAATAATAATAAATCATACAGTATGTGTCCGAAAGGGAGCAGGAGGAAGCAAACACAAAAAATATACAACAAATATACTGCATATTAAAACAAACGATTGTAAAGGTAAAAGTATGAGCATAACAAATAAAGAAGTGTAATGTAAACATTTACATTATTATTATGATTATTTAATATATAAAGACTATATATTATTGAATTACAAGATTATATATACTTTATTTGATCTCAAATATTGATGTGTTCAAATGCTGTTCAAAACACAACTGAAAGTCCATGAAACTTGTCTTTCTGTATTTGTGAATGAAGCGCCATCTCCTGGTTAAAACCTGAAATGGAAAATCTGGCAACGCCCTCTTGGAAAATAGTGGGAGGGCTTAACATTCCTCGATACTGGTCTTAGGCAGGTCGTAGGCAGGAAGCTGTAAGCTGGAGTCTGAAATGAGGTGCTACATCTGTATAAATGTCCTTATTTTTGGTTAATATATGTGCATAGCATCAAAAGACTCCCACTTTGTACGCAAAACTATTGAATCTATGGCAATTTGTATCATTTTGAAACAATACAGCTTTTTATTGTTGTGATTTTATTTAATCACGTATCTAACTAGATACTCTTGATTGTTCTCATCTTTAAGGGGCAGTTCACTCAAAATAAAATAACTCACCCTCAAGTTTTCAGGTAGTTTTCAATTTTCTGCCTCCACCCGATTGAAATGGCTGCAAATAGAATAGAAATTGGTCAGAGGGACTCGTCTTTACATCAATAAAACATGACATTTAAAAAAGTAAAACAGCTACATTTCTTTCCATAACAAGCTTCCCTGGATACGACCTGTTTACAGAAAGTGTGATGATTATCCAGACATTTCTTCACGGAGAAGCTGCCAGCAGCATAGACAAAATGATATTCCCCTCAATGGTATTGAGATGGAATCAGAAATCTCAGGTATGGATATTTCGAAACCTGAACTAATTTTCATTTATAGACAATACTAAGTGAAGGAATACTCTTTTATGGTTGGAAGAAAAACTTAAGGTCCAATTTACAGCATTGCTCATGTGTTTGTATCAGTGAATTACAACTGAACAAACTCCCTCCCATGAGGAAGTCTCACAAAGTGTTAAAAAGCTCCAGAAAAAGATAATCAGTGGAGCTAGAGTAAATACTATTACTGCTACTACTGCTTCCAAGGAGTTATTTTACTTGGCCTCTCACGTGAAAGAACTGTGCAGGAATAACCTTGTATTATTATGAAACCTATGCATTCCAGTTTGAATATATTTACATGTTGCACACCAAATGATTGATGGTTGATCAGTAAGAAGTGGTTATTTTTTGATACACTGAATTATTGTTCCTCCAAAGGAGTAGGCATTGTATTGTTTCCGTTCCCGTACAGCCAACCCACACTGATGTTTTTATTAGCTGTACTTTTGCTCACATGTTTGATTTATTTTTCGTAAACTGTGTGTACCATGCATTTTGTGAGTTTTTTGTATGTATTTATTATCTCATTGTCATTTATCTGTTCCATTTTAAGGCCACTTTGTAAACCAGAGGCCTGTACTACGAAGCCGGTTCAACATAACCTGGATATGTTTGAGTTACCCGGTTTACCTAATCCAAAACAAACACGCTCTCGCTAAACGGTCCTACGACGCTGGTTATCAACTCGTTAACTCAAGCCAGCTTTGCCCTATCTAGTTATGTGCACGTTCACAGAAAAGGGGCGGGGTTAGCAACATTTGACCAATCACAAACATGGAGAAGCTACTGACAGCGCAGCGTCATACTTCCTGAATGAAAAGTGAACTACAATATTAGACAAATTGTAGAGGCTAAGCCAACGCTTTAAGCCTCTGAAGATCCGCTTGGTGGGTGTAATTAACGCACACAAGTTTGCTGCCGAATAAAGGTCAGAAACAAAGTTTCCAGTTTGAAACCGTCCATTTATTTCCATTTTACTGGTTTCCATTTTACTTGCTTCTTTCCATATTCACCACACGATATTACCGTTTACACAATACCTTTGCTTTGATTGTAATCCCGTGTTTGTGTGTGTGTGTGTGTTAGGGCTGAACGATTAATCGATTTTAAATCGAAATCGCGATTTTAAATGATGCGATTATCAAATCGCAAAGCCTGCGATTTTTTTTCACATTTTTTTTTTTCAATTTTTTTTTTATTGTGTGTCAGTCATCCACACCAATCAGAAGTGCTGTGCTCCACATGTACCAGCCATTGTTAATCAATCAGAAGTAGCCCATGATAGAAGGTGATAGACAGATTGATCCAATCACCTGCCAAGTGCTTTTGAAAGGGCCTGCCCTTTCCAAATGGCTTCCAATGGAGCTTTCCTAGATAGTTTGGTGAAACCAACCATCTGAGTCAGGTTAGTAATGCTCCATCACATGTTTCTATTACAGGGTGAATCTTAAACTGAAGCTTGACTTTAAAGCAACCCAACGGAAGTTTCATGTAAGTTTAGTTTTTTCACTCGTAGCTCGGGCTGCGGGGGTGCTAGAGACGGGAGTACGTTGATACGACCTTCCTAGCCGGAGTTATGGCCGCATTTTACAATAAACTTCCGTTGGGTCGCTTAAAAACAAATATCGCAATTCGAATCGCAATCGCAATATTTGTCAGAAAAATCGCAATTAGATTTGTTCCCAAAATCGTGCAGTTGTGTGTTCTCCGTGTGTGGTAAAGCACCCAGATATTGTTCTAAAACTGTATTAAAGTAAACAGGTATTATCTTGAACTGTATTGAAGTAAACATGTATTATTTGGGACTGTTTAAAGTAATCCTATATATCTAAACCTTCTTACTTAAACTCCTTGACCCAGGTATCAACACACACACATACACCTACTGTCTCCATGCAGCACACACACATAAACTCCTTGATCCAGGTATCAGCAACACACACACACACACATACATTTTCCCTCACTAACACACACACATGTTCTTTTTTCAAGGTTCCTTGCTGGGAATAATCCCAAGCACCAATATATCTGTGATGTTTGATTGTTTTAAAAGAATAATTGGTGTGAAGCCTTCCCTGGGAAACTAAAGGAGTTGGGTCCGGTGGAAG